GTGAATTTTTTTTTTCAAATTATACTTTTTTTTTTTTAAAGAGAGAGTGAGAGGAGAGAGAGAGAGAGAGAGAGAGAGAGAGAATTTTTAATATTTATTTTTTAGTTCTCGGCGGACACAACATCTTTGTTGGTATGTGGTGCTGGGGATCGAACCCGGGCCGCACGCATGCCAGGCGAGCGCGCTACCGCTGAGCCACATCTCCAGCCCACACAGTGTGAATATTACATTAATATTACAGGCCACAGTGGGAACATCATGTTAATATTAAAAACCATATGGCCACTCTGTGGACACTATATTAGTATCAAAGGCCACATGTGGACACCTTAGTATCAAAAGCTACTATATATAATGCACTAGCATTAGAGGCTGCATGTGGATAACACATTAGCATCATCACCCCACCATATCAGTATGGGGTCCAGGAAGGCAGCTCGCCCTCTGGTGGCTGTTGGGACTCAGCACAGAAGGCAGTGTATGTGCCCCCTCCTGGCCATCCTGAGAACTGGACGAAATTCAGTAGTGTATCTAGATTATTCAAGACAATGATTTTAGAAAGATAAACTGAAATGAAACCCATTGATTCATGATTTTTAAAAAAGTAGTGGTTGAACAAATTTTTGGAAACTATATTGAAATAAATATAGGCAAACTGAAATGTCCATAAAAATTAACTCATAATAGTCTTTTGACTAACATTTGAGAAAACTAAAAAATTCTAAAAGGAAACAGAAGAAAATCTATGTAATCTATGTAAACTTAGACTTAGTGATGTGTGTGTGTGTGTGTGTGTGTGTGTGTGTGTGTGTTTTCTAGTCCTTGGGATTGAACGTACGGCCTCACACACATCAGACAGCTCTCTATTACTGAGCTAACTCCCCAGCCCTTGGTGATGAGTTTTAACTCACAATACCAATTGACAGAATAAAAATATTGATAACATGGACTTTATAAAATTAAATTTTACCAAGTTCAGTGTTGCATGCCAACAATCCCAATTGCTCAAAAGGCTGAGGCAGGAGGATTGCAAATTTGAGGCCAGCCTCAGAAACTTAGCAAGCCTCTAAACAACTTGGTGAAATCTTGTCTCAAAAAAATAAAAAGGGCTGGTAATGTGGCTCAGTGGTTAAGTGCCTCCAGGTTCATCCCTACTACAACAAAAAAAGTAAATATCTTAACAGACACCTGACCAAAGGAAATATAAAGATGGCCAAAAGGTTATTATACAAAGTGATGCTCAGCATCACATATCATTAGGGAATGACAAAACAATAATGAGGTAGCATGGCAAAGCTATTAGAACTGCTAAACTCTAAGAAGTGTCAGTACACCAACAGCTGCAGGATGCAAGAGATCAGTAGTCTTGTACACTGCTTGTAGAACATGTGGCACAGACACTTTGGAAGACAATGTGCCAGTTGTTAATGTAAGGCAGGGCTTGCAGGAGGGGAAGGTCTGGAGAAGGGGCAGGGCCTGGAGAAGGGTTGGGTCTAAAGGAAGGGCAAGAGGGACCATAGATGGTAAGAAGCAGCAGCCTTGGTGGTCTCTAGCTCAGGGCGGCTCAATCTTCAGCTTTCCATCCTGACATCCTACCACGGAGAAACTGCTACTGAAGCTGCCCAGATCACTCCACCTTGGCCTCTCCTGTCCATCTGCTTCTCACCTTTGGCCATTCTACCACAGCATCTCCTGGGCCAAGTCATTTACACAGGAAAGAGAGATAAGGGGAAGAGAGCAGGAGAACAAAGGAAGCCTAGGACATATAACAAAAAAGGCAGAATGCTCTCACTTCTTGGGATATCACGACATAAGCTATGGCCCCCTCTCCCTCCTGGGAGAAGTCTATGTTATCCCCTTTTTAAATAAACCCTGTTTGCCTTGGCGTGCTTCTCTAATGCTATACTTCAACATGTGAGGAAGCAGGACTCGTCACCAATAACCAGCAGTATCATAAGACACATGAAGATGCTTCCTAAATTTGACAAGTAGAAAAGAAAGTGTCTGTCTAAAAATGTTTATTTTTATCCGCAGAGCAGGCAAGATGGCGGAAGTGGAGCAGAAGAAGAAGCAGACCTAGCAAGTTCACCTACCGCAGTGGGGACCTTGACCAGCTGCTGGACATGTCCTAGGAGCAGCTGATGCAGCTGTACAGGGCAGGCCAGCAGAGGCTGAACCGGAGCCTGCAGAGGAAGCAGCACTCGGTGCTGAAGCGCCTGTGCAAGGCCAAAAAAGAGGAACCCCCGATGGAGAAGCCAGAGGTGGTGAAGTCACACCTAAGGGACATGATAATTCTGCCTGAAATGGTGGGCAGCATGGCTGGCATCTACAATGGCAAGACCTTCAACCAGGTGGAGATCAAGACCAAGATGATCGGCCACTACCTGGGCGAGTTGTCCATCCCTACAAGCCCGTGAAGCACTGCCTGGGCAATAAAGACACACACTGTTTAAAAAAAAAAAAAAAAAAAAAAAAAAAAAAAAGTTTATTTTTAGTAAATGTATTGATATAGTATAGATGAGGCTGGACCCCCAAGGAATTTTCAGGAAGCAGGGTTTTTTAAGTTGCAGTGGTCTAGAAGGGCTAATGCCTAAAAATATCTGGCCCCCAAGTCTGGAAATTCTTTAAACTTTATATTCAGTGGGATGGTTACATGTCAGTGGGTGGGTACAAAACAGTTACCCTTTGTCCCATATTCTTAGGCTAGACAGAGGTTTTGATAGCTTTTTACCAGGAAAACAGAGATAGTATCTTTTGCATAGCAACAAGCTTTCTTTAAGACAGGCCCTGTCACACCTTTTTTCTGCAAACCTGGCACTTATAAGTTGAGAAAGCTTCAAATCACAATGCCCTTGGCAGAAACCCTGCCGACATTCTTTGTAAATATCATTCTGACAAAAGAAGTTTAATTATGGCAAGGGTCTTTTAGGTGGAGGTAACTGGTCTGCTTCAGTATCTGAATTACAAAAAGCAGACTTGTCTCCTACATACTGACTTGTCTCTTACATACCTAATGATTTGAGTCCTAAGGAAATTTCATCTACAATGGTTTTAAGTACCATGAACTATCAATAGTTAATATTAAAAGATCACCATCCACCATCCTGCTTCTGTTTTCTAAAACTGATTTGAAATTTTTGCTTTGAATAATTACATCCAAATCTGGAAGGGGTATTGTGATGTATGTGTATATGTATATATGTGATCCCTTTAACCATGCCTCTGGATACCTCTGACGCTTGAGTCCTGTCAAAGATGTCATCTGTGTGTGCGGGTCTGTGGTGCTGGGATCCAACCCAGGACCTCTCACGTGCTAGGCAACTGCTCTGCCACCCAAATGCACACACAGCCCCCAGAGATATCTTAATAAATGGAAATTAATTAAAATAATTTAACATTACCATGAAAAAGTTCAAACAAGATAATTCTCTCAATCAAAAACAAAGTAAACTAAAAGTATTTTTAAAATAATGTTGATGAAAACAGCAGAAAGATTAAGAATTCTGTAGAAAACTAGAAAGAGGATAAATTAAAAGTTCAATAGTACCTAGATGTCCTTCAACTGATGAATAGATTAAGAAAATGTGGTAAGGGGCTCAGGTTGTGGCTCAAGTGGTAGCACACTCACCTGGCATGTGTGAGGCACTGGGTTTGATCCTCAGCACCATATAAAAGAAAATAAAGATATTATGTCCACCTAAAACTAAAAAATAAATTTAAAAAAAAGAAAATGTGGTAAATATATACAACGGAATGTTAGCCATAAAAAAGAATGAAATTATGGCATTTGCTGGTAAATGAATGGAACTGGAGACTAYCATGGTAACTGAAATAAGCCAACTCCAAGAAACAAAGACCAAATGCTYTCTCTGATAATGTGGATGACATTCACAATAAGGCAGGAGGAGAGAAGATTAGATATTCACTGGATTAGACAAAGGGAAAGATAAGGGAAGGAAGCTGGGAATAGAGAAGACGGTAGAATAAATTGGACATGATTTTTGTATGTTTATATATGAATACACAACCAGTGAAACTCCACATCTTGTACAATGGCAAGAATGGGATCCAAACTAAAATAAGTTATACTTCATATATGTATAATATGTCAAAATGCACTCTACTAACATTTCTATCTAGAAAGAACAAATAAAAGTTGCACAGAGGAAGAAACCTACTGCATGGAACCGGAAACCTGGAGGAGATGGGAGATTTCCTAGTAAGTACAGACATTGCAACAGGACTCTACAATAAGACTATAAATCAATCAATTAGCATAGAAAAGCTTAAACGGGTGCTTAGAGATCTCCCACTAGAAAAGACCCCAGGGTCACTGGGTCTCATGAACTGTCACCTTTAACAAATTTGGATTTTATTTCAAGTGTCCATGATCTAAAGAAAAGAGAAAATAGGTGACTTTCCTAAATTCATTTTATAATATTCCAAAGCCTGATACAGTCAAGAAATTTTATCCGCGGGRCTGGGGTTGTGGCTCAAGCAGTAGCACGCTCGCCTGGCTTGCGTGCGGCCCGGGTTTGATCCTCAGCACCACATACAAAACAAAGATGTTGTGTCCGCCGAGAACTAAAAAATAAATATTAAAAAAAAATTCTCTCACTCTCTTTAAAAAAAAAAGAAAAAAAATTTATCCAATGCAGGATATCAATGTTTGTACGACAGACATTGTTTTGTACACAGCTGCAAACATACTGCCGACTGGTAGCAGTGGGCTGGCTACTCATCCTAGCCCAGGGAGAGTGGAGGGGTTATCTTAGAAGAGGGGCCTGGATATGGTGGGGCTTAGAGGAAGGGCAGGTCTGGAGAAGGGGCAGGGCCTGGGAAGGGCTGGGTCTAGAGGAAGGGCAAGAGGTGGTAGGGCCTGGGTGGTCTCTATCTCAGGGCGGCTCAATCTCCAGCTTTCCATCCTGACATCCTACCACAGGGAAACTGCTGCTGAAGTTCAACAGAGGTAGTGACTGCCTACCTGACCCGCYATCGCACTAGGCACCAGCAGCTTCCATGAATCCAGGGTCAGTAGTCCCTGGGCCACCCACCACCACTACCCACTGTGTACCAGCTGCCTTAAAGTACTGCCTAAGTGGCAGGTATTCATTACCTAATGCTGAAAGAGGAGAGGAACCAGACAAGATGGCCCACACCTGTAATCCCAGCTACTTGGGAGACTGAGGAAGGAGAACTGCAAGTTGAGACCAACCTGGGCAAGATCATGTCTCAAAATAAAAAAGAACTGGGGATGTTGCTCAGTGGTGGAGCACTTATCTAGGATGCAYACTGGGCTCAATCCACAGTACTACTGCGGGGAATGGGGGGCATGGATGCATTATTACAATAAAACCCATTTCCTTTTATTCTGTCTTCATCTTCATCATCATTTTAATGCATTTTAATGTTCATGGACAATGAACTATTTAGCAGAAGCTATAAAGCACTTGATTCTAAAATGGAAGGTGCTATTTATTATAGATTAACAAATTCAAAATTCGGGATTTCTTAAATGAAGATGTAAGTCAGTGGAAAAGCTAGACTGGGCTCATAGAAACTTAACTCACCAACAGGTACCAAATTCCTTATTAAGACCCATAAAATTAAATGAATAAAATCAAGACTCAATAAGTGATACAGATTCAAATTAAAAAGCTCTGCACAACAAAGGAAATAGGAGCACAAAGAGAGACCCTCAGAATGTGAGAAAATCTTTGCCAGCTACTCTTCCAAATGGGGATTAATATCCAGAATATATAAAGAACCCAAAATACTTAATAACTAAACAATTAATAACTCAATAAATAGCCAAAAGAACTAAACAAACATTTCTCAAAAGAAAAAATACAAATGGCCAATAAATATATGAAAAAAATTGTTTCAACATCCCTGGCAATCAGGGAAATGCAAATCAAAACTACATTGAAATTTCACCTCACTCCAATTAGAATGGCAAACATTAAGAATACAAATAATAATAAATGCTGGAAAGCATGTAGAAAGAGAGGTACACTCATACATTGATGGTGGGACTGCAAACTAATGTAATCACTATGGAAATCAGTATGGGGATTCCCTAAAATATTAGAAATGAAACCATCATATGACCCAGCTATCCCACTCCTCGGTATTTGTAAAAAAAAAAAAATCAGCATATTATAATGATACAGGCAACACAATGTTTATAGCAACACAATTCACAATAGCCAAGTTATGGAAACAGGCCAGGTGTCCATCAAGAGATGAATGGATAAATTATATATATAAATGGAGTTTTACTTAGCCATAAAGAATGAAATTATGGCATTTCCTGGTAAATGGATGGATGTGGAGAACATCATGCTATGTAAAATAAACCAGACTTGAAAAGTCAAGGGTCAAACATTTTACCTCATATGCAGAAACTAGACAGAGATAAGGAAGTATAAAAAGGGGAAGATTCCATAAAGATAAAAGGGAGATCAGTGGAACAGAAGAAAGGGAGAGAGAGGAGGTATGGGAAAACAGAAAAACTGCAGGATGAAATTGACCAAATGATTCTATATACATATGTGAATAGACCACAGAGAACCCCACCTTTATGGGTATCCAAAAAGCACCAATTTAATAAAACAATAAACAAAAGTAAAACCAGTAGAGGAGGGGGAGCAGGGAGTGGGAGGAAGAAAAGCCAAGTAGAAGTATGGGGATGAAATGAAGTACATCACATTCTACACATGTCTGCATACATAAMAATGGACTCCACTATCATATATACCGAACTGCACTAACAAAACCATTTTTTAAAGAGGGAAAATAAACATGTACTGTCAATTAAACTGACTTTCTCAGCCAAAGAAAACTGTGGTCAATGAGTCTAGTTCCATGAAAGCCATGGAATAAATGTTAAATTCTTAGTTAGAAATAATACATTTACTTAAATAACTGGGACTAACACATGTACTTTTGAATTTTTCAAAATATTTTCTACTACTTTAACACTCCAATAAAAAACTGAGCCATAAGAACATTAAGGAAACAAGTAATGGGGTTCACTGGGGCCTCATCCCCTCAGGCTCAAGAACCYCCCTCAGCATTCTTCCTTCCTCCCTGCCAGGTTACCCAGAAACTACCAGGGTCACCGCGTTTAGATGAGGGGCAGACAGCCTGGGGAGGGTGCTGCTGCACAGGGAGCCTGGATGAAACAGTGAAAGACGGCAGGGGTCCGCCAGGCTGCTGGCTCTCAGGCCCAGGTCAGGTTCTCTCCTTACTCTCCCCACCTTTTCCTCACCTGCTGCCTGGTTATTGAGAAGCTTCTGGAGAACCTCCTGGAGGCTCCTCTGAGAAGGGAGTGCCTAGAATCCCTACAGACAGGACCACAGTGTCCCCAAGCTGGGTGTGTGCCCGAGACTGCTGTGCCAAGGACACTCTGGGCACCCTACAGACAGGACCAGTGTTTCCAAGCTGGGTGTGTGCCCGAGACTGCTGTGCCAACGACACTCTGGGCACCCTACACACAGGACCAGTGTTTCCAAGCCAGGCGGCCGAGGCTGCTCTGAGAAGGGAGCTCAAGAGACGTGTCAGAAGACATGACCCCCAGGGTCTCCAACCAGTGCCTCCCTCAGGCAGCTCAAGAGAAGGGAACTCCAGGTGACCCTGCACACATGACCCACAGGGTCCCCAAGCCAGGCATCTGCCTGAGACTAGTCTCCCTCAGGCTGCTCTGAGGAGAGGAAGCTTTTAGAGACAGGACCCACAGCGTCCCCAGGCCGGGCGTCCCCCTCGGGCTGCTCTGAGGAGC